AGTGAGTGAGTGAGTGAGTGAGTGAGTGAGTGAGTGAGTGAGTGAGTGAGATTTGTTTGTTATTTTACGCCACACTTTTTGACGGTGTCTACCAATAATGGAGTCTGGAGCAGGGAATCCAGTGATTGACATCATGAGCATCAATCCACGCAATTGGGATATGATGCATCAAACAGGTCAGTGAGCCTGACCACCCAATCCTGTTAGTCGCCTCTTACGACTAGCCGAAGACCAATTGGAACCCGGATCTTCACCCACCAGACTCAGGTTTTTGGACTAGTGGCTAAAATCAGAGACTGATTTAAGTTGCTCTCAACGCCAGATCTATCATGAAGCACATGTAACATATGTGGTGTCTCCTCGAGCAAGCGACTTTGTTCGGGTGGTATACTCCCCAGGGAGCTGAGAATGATAATAATGTCTAAGCGCACAGAGCATGCTTAATGCAGGGAGTACAGTGCCAAATAAATGGATTATTATCATCATCATCATCACCATCATCACTGGATTGACATCTTTTTCCCTGACATTTTCACTTTGTTCTGAATACCCTATAGATATCTCTTCGTAAGCATCTTTCAGTTTCCTCATTACTTAATAAGTTGATTAATGAAAGCCATATTTCAGAGTGTGACTCACATGTTACACCCAGGATTGTGTCGACGCTGAAGCCTTGGAAACAGACACTGAGACATAAAAACACGTTTTTGCAGGGTTTTTGTTCTGTTTACTGATAATTTCTTATTAAGTAGAAAATTTACAAATTAAGCATTATCAGGAATTTGGTTAGTCAGATATTGGATTTAAATCTGCATTATCAGGGTTTATTTGGTCTTCACTTGTTTTTTCGACTGTTAATTTTGTTCTTTGTATTTTTTGTCTTTTCATCATACATTCTATCAGCTCAGATATCAGCTCTGGTAAGTATTGTTTCTGATGTTACAGTACTGGTTTGTGAGGTATTTGCACTGGCAGGAGTCTAGTTTGTCAGGTTATGTTTCCAGGATTGTGTCAGGTGATGTTTCCAGGATTGTGTCAGGTGATGCCAGGATTGTGTCGGGTGATGCCAGGACTGTGTCAGGGGATGTTTCCAGGCTTGTGTCAGGTGATGTTGCCAGGATTGTGTCAGGTGATGCCAGGATTGTGTCAGATGATGTTGCCAGGATTGTGTCAAGTGATGCCAGGATTGTGTCAGGCTATGCCATATTGTGTCAGGCGATGCCAGGATTGTGTCAGATGATGTTGCCAGGATTGTGTCAGGTGATGTTGCAAGGATTGTGTCAGGCGATGTTGCCAGAATTGTGTCAGGCGATGCCAGGATTGTGTCAGGCGATGCCAGGATTGTGTCAGGTGATGTTGCCAGGATTGTGTCAGGTGATGTTGCAAGGATTGTGTCAGGCGATGTTGCCAGAATTGTGTCAGGCGATGCCAGGATTGTGTCAGGCGATGCCAGGATTGTGTCAGGTGATGCCAGAATTGTGTCAGGCGATGTTGCCACGTGATGTTGTCAAGTACAGGCTTCAGTGTTGTAAAACAAGAACATCAACATACGACAGAGCCACGAGACTATCAGCAGACTGTTCACTCTTGGCACAAGGGAACATATTTCCAGTTATATCCCCATCTTGTCCCTGTATATATCTGCCAAACTTTCCACTTTTAACTCCGAAAGTCCAACTTCCACAGATTTCAAAACGCACAATAAGCCACAACAGTCGTGCTTGCTTGGCACAACCTCAGAATGCACAACAGACGATCTACAGGGGGATTTGTCGCCTTCGTTTGATTTCATAAAACCCCATTATTGAAAACTATGAACTGAGTTACTTACCACTGTCTGAGAAAATTAGATCACACTCATAAATCGGATGGAGTGTGATTACGCTCTCATGATATATCATGTACATTGATCCGACCGAACCTGTCATAACACCCACAATGCAATTCAGGCTAAAATTGGAAACATGGAAAATCGTTAACATGGTTTCAATTCAAATTGCTAAAATTTAACTTGCGTATTTTCCGTATGGTCTTTCATCTGGTGTAAGGACCGTGATTAGGAGTAATGATCCTTTAACAACTGGGACATTAGAAAACAAACACCAGCCTCTGTTGCCACCAAATACCCCGATTACAATGCCTTTGGCTGCTTGTATGTGAGGGATTGCGTATGACAGCATTAGGTCCCCGAGTCTGCTCTTCAAAGTAGCAGAAACACAACGGTATCAGAGGAATGCATGAAGGTAATGCCTAGTAAGCCGGGGCCCTATCGGCAGCACCAGACACACCAAGGGATCACGACGCTCTCTGCACATGCTCTTAAACATGCGGGCACGCCATGGCACCATGCTTGTCATTCTAACTTGTGTTTTCATCTAGGTATTGTAGCAGCACTTCAATCCTTGTCTTATGTTCGCTATTCTCTTTTCTGGTTCCGAATTAGGAAGCGACTGGTAAGTTGAAGCCCCTTCGAAGCCACACTTCAATCACCGCTATCCTCAGTTGTCAACGTGTATTTACCAAGATTCGGCTAAATTCCCGTTTAAATAAATCATTATTTGCTTATTCATTTCTTAATTTCGCTCGCCACTGAAGAGTATTTAAAAAGGCAGTGCTTGTCAAACACACAAACAATCCATGCAATCTTTCTCCCCCGGTCAAATTGGAAGACAATACTTCCTGAGCCCTATTCCGTATCCAGTGAAAGGCGACTAGCGACATTCTTGCAAACTTCTAACGAGCCAAGGATTTTTGTCAAGTTTTAGACCAACAACATCACACAATTTCAAATGTACATAAATGATTCAAGTTTATTGAAATTGCGGAAGTATTAGGGGAAAGGCATATTTTAAAGCGTTGCTTTGTTTCCTTGCTATACAAAAGTATTGTAGAGGCTTTTGTCTAACAGGTACGTGACAAACAAGAATGTTAAAAGAGTCACGTTGTGATTCCTCGGGAATAGAATTTCATAAACAGTTTCAAACAGTAACAGTTTCAGATCCACAAGTTTACTAATTAACACAAAGGTTATGAAGCTATATTTAAATATGTCCCCTAAGATGTCCATTAATAAGTGAGAATAGCATCCGATGTTATCCTAAAGGTTATGCTCTAATTTGTTTGACAGTAAAAAGGACATACAATTTCATTATTTTAATAACAATGTTGTATTTTTATTCTTGAAACTCTGCATTCTGGGAAATTATTGAAATGAACGATTATTACCTTTATACCGATGAGTGGGTGAGTGAGTGAGTGAGTGAGTGAGTGAGTGAGTGAGTGAGTGAGTGAGTGAGTGAGTGAGTGAGTGAGTGAGTGACCGAGTGAGTGAGTGACCGAGTGAGTGACCGAGTGAGTGACCGAGTGGGTTTCAAGGTTGGCACACTGGGGATTAAAACCTAGACTTCATGCTTAATAAGCCAATGCTTTAACCACAAAGCTACCAAACAGTATTGAAGTACTCCCAGGAAGATCTCCCTCTTGTTCCCGTTAAGAGACAGTCCACAAGGAAAAGAACAGACAAACCAGATAAGACAAACCAAACACAAGCACAAGCCTCACAAACAAGGACTTGTTTTAACTTCTATTTCCAGAAACTATTTTCCTAACAAATACTAATTGTCTCCGTCCTTAATTTTTATTTACTAAACGTAACAAATGTTTTCAGGAAATTAGAACCAGAATTTATTTACTTGAAAGTAATGTGCAGAAAGATTTCGAACTGTTACAATTGTTTTCAGGAAATTAAAACCAGTCCCACTCCTCTAGCAACTATATTGGACTTGTGATGTAAAACTAAAGGAAGAGTAAGATAAAATTAAAATTAAAATACCCACTGACAAATATCTACCATGCATCGATGAAGCATGAAACTGAAATATGTTTGTCTTTTATTCTTTTTTTTTGTCGTTTGAGGAGTTAATGGGTTGGTTAATTGCTGCCTTGAACCATATTTCTTTTATATCAAGCCATATCACAGTTTTTCACCAGTGAAATACATACCACAGAAATGGTCCCTCTATGGCTCTTATTAGGTGCTTCTTGGTGATTCACAGTTGCACACAAAGTGTAGGGTACACTACATGTTACACTACATGTTACTGTAAGGGTACTTTAATATGTGCCATTGAAATACAGGAGTTATCTCCCTTAGTATGTAGGAGGATTTGCTTCCAATGGAACCAACTCTCACAGCGTAGATTGGCTATGATGTTATCACAAACATTTTCTTTCTTTCCACAAACCAGTATTATGCTTTCACATGTTCGCACTGATTGTGATACTTGGTCTGTTACCACTGTGTGTCTCTCTCTCTCTCGCTATCTCTCTCTCTCTCTTTCTCTTTCTCTCATGATATATGTTTCTGTCTCTCCACCCACTCTTTCACCCACTCACTCCCTCACTCACTCACTCAACCACCCACTCACTCACTCACTCTCATCCACCCACTCCCTCCCTCACTCACTCACTCACCCCCCTCATCCACCCACTCACTCACTCCCTCTCTCACTCACTCACCCCCCCACTCACTCACTCACCCACTCCCTCACTCACTCAACCCCCCTCACTCACTCACTAACTTACTCACCCCCCACTCACTCACTCACTAACCCACTCACTCACTCACTCACTCACCCAACCACCCACTCACTCACCCAACCACCCACTCACTCACTCACTCACTCACTCACCCACCCACCCACTCCCTCACTCACTCACTCACTCACATATTAATACTATTAAGGACTGCCTAACACCTGTCAGTAAGTGATGCCAAGTGTTGAAAGTAAATAGTCTGTCCCCAAAGTCCACCATATGCCATGCTGCACTTGAAGCTGCTGTGCACACCCTTCATCAATGTCAGTTCACGTCAGTACTATTGTTTCATGTTACCCATGGTCTTAATGACTAATTAAAGAGTAATTAAGTTGGATGCAACCCTTGATCTTGTGGGGGGAAAATATGTTATTACATTCAAGCATTAAACTCCCTAACCACATCTAGACATAATGAACATGAGATTGGAGCAGGGATAGAGACATTTCAACCTTCACATGGAACTCTGTCTTCCTGTGTATATATAGGGGAGGTTGACAGTATTTGTCTGCCTTGAGTCCTCTTGGCCACACAAGTATGGGGCACTGGGGAGACAAGCATAGGGTACTGGTACTTTGACTCAAGTCCCCTTGGGGAGACAAGCATAGGGTACTGAAGACTTTGACTCAAGTCCCCTTGGGGAGACAAGCATGGGGTACTGGGGAGACAAGCATGGCGTACTATGGAGACAAGCATGGGGTACTGGTACTTTGACTAAAGTCCCCTTGGGGAGACAAGCATGGGGTACTGGGGAGACAAGCATGGCGTACTATGGACACAAGCATGGGGTACTGGGGAGCGTCCTGAATCCCTTTGGGGAGACAAGCATGGCGTACTGGGGAGTGTCCTGAATCCCCTTGGGGAGACAAGCAAGGGGTACTGGGGAGTGTCCTGAATCCCTTTGGGGAGACAAGCATGGCGTACTGAGGACTTCGTGTGCTGTGTCCCCTTGGGGAGACAAGCATGGCGTACTGGGGAGCGTCCTGAATTCCCTTTGGGGAGACAAGCATGGCGTACTGGGGAGCGTCCTGAATTCCCTTTGGGGAGACAAGCATGGGGTACTGGGGAAGCGTCCTGAATTTCCTTTGGGGAGACAAGCATGGGGTACTGGGGAGCGTCCTGAATTCCCTTTGGGGAGACAAGCATGGCGTACTGGGGAGCGTCCTGAATTCCCTTTGGGGAGACAAGCATGGGGTACTGGGGAGCGTCCTGAATTCCCTTTGGGGAGACAAGCATGGGGTACTGGGGAGCGTCCTGAATTCCCTTTGGGGAGACAAGCATGGGGTACTGGGGAGCGTCCTGAATTCCCTTTGGGGAGACAAGCATGGGGTACTGGGGAGTGTCCTGAATTCCCTTGGGGAGACAAGCATGGGGTACTGGGGAGTGTCCTGAATCGGCTTGGGGAGACAAGCATGGGGTACTGGGGAGCGTCCTGAATCGGCTTGGGGAGACAAGCATGGGGTACTGGGGAGCGTCCTGAATCGGCTTGGGGAGACAAGCATGGGGTACTGGGGAGCGTCCTGAATCAGCTTGGGGAGACAAGCATGGGGTACTGGGGAGCGTCCTGAATCAGCTTGGGGAGACAAGCATGGGGTACTGGGGAGCGTCCTGAATCGGCTTGGGGAGACAAGCATGGGGTACTGGGGAGCGTCCTGAATCGGCTTGGGGAGACAAGCATGGGGTACTGGGGAGCGTCCTGAATCAGCTTGGGGAGACAAGCATGGGGTACTGGGGAGCGTCCTGAATCGGCTTGGGGAGACAAGCATTGGGTACTGGGGAGCGTCCTGAATCGGCTTGGGGAGACAAGCATGGGGTACTGGGGAGCGTCCTGAATCGGCTTGGGGAGACAAGCATGGGGTACTGGGGAGTGTCCTGAACCCCCTTGGGGAGACAAGCATGGGGTACTGGGGAGCGTCCTGAATCAGCTTGGGGAGACAAGCATGGGGTACTGGGGACTTGGTATTACTTAAGTGAGCAAAGGGAGAGAAGCATCGGGACCAATCTGACAAAATTATTGGAAAAGCAATTAGAAAAAAAGAATCATAGAAACAATTTTCAAAATGGACATTGATGATTACAGAATATTCTTTTCAATTAATCCCCAATCATCAATCACTCCCAACAAGCAGCAAAGAGAAAACAACGTTGTCCAAACTACAGGGAACCGAAAAACAAACCCCGTCCTTACTGCATCGTTTCTGTGCAATGCATTACAAAATCCACAACAAGCGGTGAACCAAATTCTGTCTGAATTCTCACCATCATGTAAGTGCAGATTTTAATGACATAATTTTTTCCAATTTAAATTTCTGGGTAGAATCGTGGTATCCATCATCCCGAGGAGAGAACATAAGAGTATTCTTGTAAATGATTTCTCATCTCGTACAATCTCAGCGCTCAGGCAATCTTTACCCTGTATTGTATTTTTGTAGCGGTGACCGTCATTAAAGCGCGGACGCGACGACAAGGGTACAAGGGGATGAGCAGAAAGCACGGAGCACCCCGGGGCACGCAATCAGCGCCTATTGTCCGATATTGATCCCGCAGAAAACAATCTTGCTCATTCAACAGCTGGTAGTCGAAGGGCTATGACCCTATCAGGCAAAAAGCGGAAAACATTTAGAAATCTTAGGAAAATCTTTAACTGCAGACTTATTAACTATGAGAATATTATCACGTATGAGGGTTGGTTATTTGGGGTGGTAGAAGAATATAATACCACAAACTTGGGACAGAACTGTAAGATATTAAGAAGTGATTTGTATCATAAGACTTGATTATTTAGCATGGTCATTGATAAATAAAGGGGTGGACTGAACAGGGTAAAAAATATACCTTGCAAGATCATGAAAAACTGTAGTCGTGTTGACTGTTAACTACACACTTCTGTGGGCTTTTCATGAATTTGTGTTAACTGTTACACTACAAATATCCGTGGTTTTCATGAATTTGTGTTAACTGTTAGATTACAAATATCCGTGGTTTTCATGAACTTGTGTTAACTGTTAAACTACAAATATCCGTGGTTTTCATGAATTTGTGTTAACTGTTAAGCTACAAATATCAGTGATGTTCATGAACTTGAGTTAACTGTTAAACTACAAATATTAGTGGTTTTAATGAATTTGTGTTAACTGTTAAGCTACAAATATCAGTGATGTTCATGAACTTGAGTTAACTGTTAAACTACAAATATTAGTGGTTTTAATGAAGGCCATGAACACAATTTGGGGAGGGTCTCAGAACAATGCTACATATTCTCATATTTTGTTGTACACATGGACATACAAGTCTCCAATTCTCCTTCATGATCAACAAACTGTGCAAATCTTGTGCATTAATATATATGCATTTAAATACATGAAAAGGTTTCAGTAAAATATACGAAATGATAAGCTTCATAATAAAAAAGTATTTGTTTTAATCTTGTGCATTAATATATATGCATTATATACATGAAAATGTTTCAGTAAGATATACAAAATAATAATCTGATCAATCATAAACAAATATTTGGTTAAATCCTATGCATTAAAAAATATGCATTAATATCACACATTGAGGAAAACAGTAGCCTTGAACACCGTTTTCACACAAGCAACTTCTAAATAACTTCCCTAGTACAATACTAGACCAAAGAGAGTTGTCAAAGTTCTTCCAAACTTAAAATTAGATTTTTTAAAAACAGGATGTAGAAAGTCTAGTTAGTTGGTTCGCCTGTCTTTTGAAGGGCCTGTCAGGCGTTAGAGATTTGCACCAAATCGCTACCTACTGAAATGAGTCAAGTATCTCACAATACCGGCTCCCTCCCGGTCTTCCTCTGAGAAAATGGCAACTATTGTATCCTGTTCCCATAAGTTTGACATTTCAAAAACAAATTCTTTATACACCCATATTTTTATTCAAAAGGAAATTACAATAACTTAACTAATAAAAGAGTAACTTGTACTTGGTTTCGGTGTAAAGCTGGAGTGTATTGTGAGATGCTATCTACTTTTTCCTGTGTGAGTCATTACATAAATATTTAAACATTTCAAACAAAAGTTTTACATTTTGAATGAATTATTGTTTAATTTCCTCTTTAATTTTATATTTTTGGGTATAGTACTGCATCATTAATGATGAGGAAAACATTATTTCAATATTCTCAAGGAGAGGTCAACGGCAGGTTTTTGTTTCTGACATGTACAAGCATGTACTGTCAGATAGTTACCTTCCTGTAGTCATTTCTACTAAAATCGTGAAAAACATCAATTTCTGCCTTGACCAATCAAGATCAATTCACAAATAATGATGAAGGGATGAAATATTGCACTTAAAACAACTAATTTTCATGTTTAATAGGAAATACTGTATACAAGACAACTGCTCACCATGTTCTATAAGAAATACTGTTTTCAAGAAAACTACCCATTAATTATTGTATGACATACTGTATACAAGACAACTGCTCACCATGTTCTATAAGAAATACTGTATTCAAGAAAACTGTTAATTAATTACTGTATGAAATACTGTATAGGAGACAACTGCTCAACAAGTACTGTATAAAATACTGTATATGAGACAACTATTCTTCACTTAATTAAGGAAATGATGTATGTAAGACAACCACTCTTCACATACAGTGTTAGGAAGGCAGTACAAAATGTGGAACTTGTGACTGAAGGCCAGTGTTGGTTTGCCATCTCTAATATTTGAGAGGCTTCATACATCTGTCTGTTAATTGTTTGCTGTTTGCTTGTTTGCACAGCACTCAGCAATATTCCAGCTATATGACAGCAGCCTGTAAATAAACAAGTCTGGACCAGACAATCCAGTGATCAATAATGCGTAAAACGATCCACACCGTCAGGGTACGAGAACACGCCATCAACCAAGTCACTGTGTCCGACCACCTGATCCATTTGGTCTCCTCTAAGTTGCTGACGACTTATTCTGATCCGAAACGCCCACGTTGTTGATACATCTAACCAGTTCTCCTCAACAGGTGGTGCTGAAATTCTTTACACCATTTCGATCGTCTGTTGATTTCACACAAATGAAAGTGGTAACTTTCAAATCAAGTTCAAATCTTTTCAAAACAAACAAATTTTGAGATCTCAATAAATTTCGGTCACCCATCTAAAATCAGATTTCAGACAAACCCCCAATTTCCTGGTATGAGGTAACTCTGAAATTAAATCTAAAGATAGCCCCCCTAATAATTAGGTACGGAAAAAATGAGGGAAATTCTACTGAAAACTCAACAGGACTGTATAATTAAACAATTGTATTAAAAATGGGAATCAATAGCAATTACCATTCAGTGTAGCTAATAGTACAGATAATTTCTTAGTGCACAAGTTCACAAGAAAAAACGATGACTCGGTAGAATAATTCAAATAAAATGCTTAAAATTAGTCATGAAATATAGTTCTGGCATTTAATTGTTTGTGCACACACGTCAGTAGTTTGGGTGTTTATTAATTTTTGTTTATTAGTCTGGATGTTCAATTGTTTGTGTTCCAGGTTCAATAGTTTGGGTGTTGGATGTTCAATATTTGAGTGTTGGATGTTCAATAGTTTGGATGTTCGTTGTTCAATAGTTTGGTGTTCTTTGTTTCAGATGGTCGAGGCTCAATAGTTTGGGTGCTCGATGGTCAATAGTTTGGGTGCTCGATGGTCAATAGTTTGGGTGCTCGATGGTCAATAGTTTGGGTGCTCGATGGTCAATAGTTTGGGGGTTTGATGTTCAATATTTGAGTGTTGGATGTTCAATAGTTTGAATGTTCGAGGCTCAATAGTTTGGGTGTTCAATAGTTTGGATGTTCAAGGTTCAATAGTTTGGATGTTCAAGGTTCAATAGTTTGGGTGTTCAATAGTTTGGGTGTTCTTTGTTTCAGATGTTCGAGGCTCAATAGTTTGGGTGTTCAATAGTTTGGATGTTCTTTGTTTCAGATGTTCGATGTCCAATAGTTTGGGTGTTCCATATTTCATGTTCTTAATTAGTTTTGGTGTTCGACAGTTTATGTGTTGGATGTTCAAGAGATTGGGTGTTCAATGTTCAATACTTTGGATGTTCATTACTTTGGGTGTTCAGTATTTCAGGTTCCCATATAGTTTGAGTGTTTAATAGTTGAGGTGTTGAGTAGTTTTGATATTCACTTATTTTTGTATTTAATAGTTCAGGTGTCCAATACTTTTGGTGTTCAATACTTTTTTGTGTTTTTACAATGAGGCTGAGAGAATCATTTGTTCTACCTTCATGCAGAAGCCCTGCTACAGACAAATGGTCCAAGGGTTATAAGACATTTCCATGATTTTAACAATATATAACATGGTGTTTCCTAATTATTAACACATTTTAGAAATTGTTTTGGACATGTTTATGTTGTTTTATTTTATGAATTTATGTCGTGCATAGTTGCAGGATTGTTGATGCAGCATTAAGCAATAGTCACTAATTTATCTTAATC